CGGAGCGCCACGCGTGTGCCCGGAGCCGCTTTGGGCGTGTTTCGCGTTGTTTGCAGACGCTGGTGGCCGGGCTGAGCCGCCCTGGGCCCTCAGCCTGGACACAGCTGTGTCCGGCTTTCCCACGACTTCCCTGCCGCCGATAGCGCGCTGACAACAGACGTGGGGCTCGCCTCCACGTCCGGCCTAAAGGAGCCGCCATCCTCGCCCGACTGCCTTTTATTAATGCACGTATTTTTACAAAACCGTAGCCACATTCGAAGTCGAGCGTGGAAGCAAAGTGAAACTCCGGCTCATTGTTCCACGCACAAGTTGTTTTCCTAGTTTTCATGCCCTCCGGTTCGGTGCCTGCCCAGAAAGGGAGCTCGGCTTGCCGGAGTCCAGGCTCCCAGCCCTGCGGAGCCGGGAGGGACCGTGTCGCTCCACTTCAGCTGCTCCTGGGGGCACAGCCACGGAGTCCCCGGGCCGGAAGGTGTGGCTTCTCAGCGCCCTTTGCATCCCTCCCCCTTGCTCAAATCCCCCCCAAAAATGATTTTTGCTACTCGTCAGACTTCTACACGGTCTACTATTTGACCGCTTAAATCTCAGTCTTTGTTTTCTTCTTTTTGGGAAAAAAAAACTTTTCACTTCTCTTCCGGAAGAGCGATACTCACCCACTCCACTTCACTGTATATAAATTATTAACTGTTCCATGCCAGAATAAACTGGAAACACACACACACACGCACACACACACGCACACACATCTCCTAACTGAGAGTTTTGTCTCCCCATTGGATATGGAAAGGCGGATGATTACATCAGCAGTTACCTTCAGATGGCTTCTCCCAGCTCAGAGTTTGGCCAAGCACCATAGCCGGTTATTTAAACACTCTTCGGTAATGATGACCAAATACTTTCAGAAGGCAGCAGGCTTGAGAACACTTTATTTGGGTCTAGAAATACTGACCCAGAGACGGAACCCTCCCAAGGCGGCACTGTTCCGCCTGCTGATGGCCAGACCCAGCAGAGAAAGTTCTCTGTTGGGAAACATGAGCTGTTTGGATTTCGATTGTTTGATTGATACATTAGCCAAGCAAAGCGAGTAGTGAGAGCTGGCTTTCCAAACATCCAGGGCTTTAAAAGGAAGGGGCAATTCACTTAGGCAGACGCCTGTTCTTTCGTTATTTTCTAAAGCCCAAGTGTGCTCCTGGCCACTAGCTTTGCTCTATCCCTCAAGGTGCCACGGAATGTTTTAAGAGACCCGGCATGTGGGTGACCCTGGGTCATAGTTGACCTAACAGATATTATTATTACATGATATTTTTCCTGGCTTAATTAGAGAGAGAAAAGTGATTGGTATGCATACAATTTACAGGGCTACAAGAAAATCGCATCTGGCTAATTTCTAAATTTATCTCACTTTCCATGCCATCGACAGCATTTTTGCCTGCCGCCTTCCCAAACTGGCTGTTAGGTCTGCAGAAACACTGAAATGACTTCAATATCGGTCCAAGGAAAACATGATTGAAAAAATGTATTTTGAGTGATAACAGACTGCAGATTGATCAGATCTTTAATCCACAGGCCAGAAGGAGTGACTCTTGGCTTATCTGTCCTTTGCAACGATTGAATTACTTACCTGCCGCTGTACCTGCAAACGTAACCTACTGTGTGTCAGGCATGGGCTGCACTTCCCCCCCCCCTTCATGAAAGGCTGTGTGATTTTGTCTTTGCCCGTATCTGATGTGAGCATCCTGTTTATTTACCGGTAGATGGATTTTCTAAAGCATTGATTGGTTTTTATTCCATGCTGAACCTACCATGTAATCCTCTCCCTGCTTCCTTTCCCCACTTTTCCCTCTTAAGCCAGAAAGGGGGAGAAGGATGCAGGCTCCAGACTAAAGCCTGCCCATGGAGTTCTGGCAGTGTGCACCCTCTGTGCCCAGTCCCATCCCACACTGGGCTGAATGAGTCACTGGGTGGCCTGCAGACTCCCTGCCAACTGGGTCTGTGTGGTGCTAATTGGCACATTATTTCTCAGGATAGGGGATGTCTGCAAATGTGGAGACGTCTGCCCCACAGGGTTATCATCTCCTGACCACTAGTCACTGCTTCTGGGACTGAATGACCTGGGGCTCAAACTGGCATTTAACTGCCATACACCCAGGGGCTGCGTTCCCCCTGGAAGTGTGACTTAGATGAGAAGGTCCATTCCTGCCTTTGTTCCAACAAGCCGCATCACCCGGTAACTTGGGAGTGATTCTGGTGAAGGTGTGCCCTAAACCCTCATGCTCTTTGCGTGTGGAGTTGGCTCGGGGTGATGGGAAGCAGCTCTAAGACCATCCAGAAGGTGTAATATGCATGAACCGTGCCCCAGTGAGACTGCCCACAGCATTCTTAGTGCTGTACACCTGTCCCATGCACACAGAATGAGCATGCTTTAGGGGCAAGATGACCCTACATTTTATGTCTGCTTTTAAGTAGCTGACTTGGGGGGGAGTCTCTGCCTCAGTTTCCCTGGCAGATCTGCCCCTTTCTCACATGGGCCCATTCATTTCTTCCTTCCTTTCACACATGCGGTGGGGGTCTCCTTGTGCCCTGCCCCCTGCCAAGTGCAGGAGGTGTGACCCCCACTCTCTGTCCCCAGGAAGGTCACAGTCTGGCGAGAAAGGCTGGAAAAGAAGCAGACATCACCATCAAGGGAGAGGGAGGGTGGTAGCAACACCTACTCCAGCTTTAGGGACTCAGCGAGGGGAGAGATCACCTCTGAGAGGAGGAGAAGCAGGAACTGTGAATCCCATGTGTTATTTTCGTATGTAGTCATGGTGGATTACACACAGAAGGCACGGTCATCCCACCTGGCCTTCCCCAAGTCTGAGGGTCATTATGTTGAAAGCTGACCCTCAAGTCCCCTCCTTTGAGACACCAGGTTGTCATGGTTTCTGGGATTCACAGTCCTCGTGGCTGAGCTTGATCTCAGAGGGTTGGGTAGAGGTAGAGAGCAAGGACTAGTGATAAGAAGACCACCCAGTTTCAGCTGGGTCCATAGCATGCGGCCCTGTCCACGTTCTTGGAGGTGGCGGGTGCACTGGGCACGCTGGAAAGTTGCAACATGGATGACTGACTCTACCCAGGAGTGCCTTTAGGAACTGATCCAGAAAACCTACCCTCGCTTGGGCTAGGCCACGAGGGAATTCACTCAACCTCCATTATTCATTAACAAGACCGTCGGCAGATTTCTGGGCCCTGGTCAGGGTGGCCGTCACAGGTTGGGTTATTCAGTTAAGAGCTGGTGAAGATTTTGCAGACAGATGAAGCCCAGGAGCCATGCTCTGAAACACACCTTTTTAGACACTGGGAGAGCTTCAAGAAGTGGATACATTGTACCACAGGTTGTGGCGAATTATGCAGTGTTTATGATAGCGATTGTTCTTGAAATTGAAGAAGAATCCACCTCATTAAAATGTCTTTCTGGTCTGGCATGTTGAGTACTTGGGATAGAGTCAGCTCAAATAACAATAGAGGCCTAAAATATTATCATTAGAGCATTGTTTTTCCTGCTAGTATTAGACAACCACTAAGAAATGTCAACTGTGGACAATACAGAAGACATATTCCTACCATTCTTATGCACACAATGAGAAGGCTAGACACCACAACACGATGTAATCATGAATTTCTTTTGGGGCATTGAACACTGGGAAGGACTTTGGGGTGAAGCCGTTTATGGTGTGGGAACCAGACCATAACCATAGACCATAAGCCATAAACGTCGTCCTGTGTCTGCCTCCCTGTCTCCTGGCCTTCACTCTGAGACATGAGTCTCGCCTGGTGCTCTGTTTCTCTCCCTCTCTCCCCTTCCTCTTCCGTGTGGGTGTGCCTCAGGGTGGCTTCCCCACACTGCTCTTTCTCCTCTGCCTGTCTACCCTCTGCCTGGGTCTCCATCCCACGGATGTGACCTCATTCTGACGGTGACGTCGCAGACCTCCTTCCTGACCTCCAGTCTGATGTCTTCATGTTTCCACGGGTCTTTCCTTGGCTGTCCTGCTTTGACCTCAGACTGAGCAGATCCTACCAGCGCTGAACTTCCAGTCTCTGACCCAGGCCGATGGTCCTTCCAGCACCGCCATTTTGGTCACAGCGCACCTCAGGTTTCCGGACACTGCGCCCAGAGCCATGGCTTAGCCTCAGGCCTCACCCTTCCCTCTTTCTCAACCTCCTTGTCTGCTCAGTCAGGACACCTCTCACTGCTTCCAGATGCTTCCCCAAGGCATCACAGCCGCAGGGCTGCGACCCCACTCCTGCCGGCTCCTCTCGTGCCTGCGTCTCCAGAAGTCCTCTCGCCCGGCCTCCTCTCAGCTCTTGGTCTCCCCAGCCCCATCCCCACACGGTGAGGACCGCACACTCACTCAGGATCCGACAGTGGTCACCTGCTGTTCACTCAGGGCTCTTCCCTCTCCTTGGCTTGGCTTGCAGGCCTTCCTCCTCCACCCACAGCCTTGGGAGCTGTCGGGAAGGCCTAGTCTCCATGTCCCAGAAATCCATTTAGTTCTTGCTACTGTCTCACCTGCAGTGTCCTCTCTTCGTCCCTTGCTTGCTTTAATTCCACCAAATCTCCCTCTCTCTCTTTGCTTTGAATCAGTGTCTCACTCTGTTGCCCAGGCTGGAGTGCAGTGGCATGCATCAGCCTTGACCTTCTGGGCTCAGGTATTCCTCCCATTTCAGCCTCCCAAGGAGCTGGGACTACAGGCCAGTGCCACCACTCTGGGATGATTTCTAATTTTTTTGTAGAGATGAGGTCTCACTATGTTGTCCAGGCTGGTCTCGAACTCCTGGTCTTGAGTAATTCTCCCGTCTCAGCCTCTCAAAGTGCTGGGATTACAGGTGTGAGCTCCCACGCCCGGCCTCTACCACATCTCTTAAAGAAGTCCTCAGCCGATACCTTTTTGGTGCAATCTCCTCTCAAATAACAGTTGTCATGTGGAATATGGTCAAGTGTCTGAATTCTGTAGAAACCCAGTCTCCCCTGCAGTTCTTATGCTATCACTCAATAGCAGTGTCACCTCTTTGAGCCTCAGTCTGTATTACACAAAATGAGAGCAATACAGCATCTAGAGAGAGCTTGTATGTGTGAAGGAAGCATTCAAGAGATGCTGGCTGCATTTCTGCCACGTGGCTTGGTGACACATTGTCTTATGTGTGTTGGTACCGAGTTGCTTG